ACCTCTTGCCCAAACCACCCTTCAGCCAGCTAACTAAACATGACAGTGATCAGCTTCCTTGTTTAAAGTAGTGTGGGGTAGGTCTGTTGAGTTTTTTGTTGTTGTAAATAAACTTATTTTTACTGCATTTCATATACTCCAAGATGCACTTCTCCCCACTTTAACATCTTTGAAGTCAGGGGCATGACATCAACTGGCAAAATTTTTTCCTCCTTAGCAGAACACAAAATAGTTGTCATTTTACAGTGAACGTTGTCTTAGATGACATGATAGTTTGCATCAAATTTATCAACCTTTTTATTTACAACTTTAAGCTTTTGTCTCATGTTTAGAAAGGCCTTCTCTATCCTAAGATTAAATATTTTTCATTCTTCTATTATTTTTTTGGTTTGTCTTTTTTAAATTTAAAATTTATGGTGTATCTTTCATTTATTTTGGTGTAAGAACTAAAGTAAGAATTGGTGTTGCTTTGCCCCCCATGGATTTGTCACCCCACTTCCCCTGGGTGACGGAGCCACAAAGGATTACTCAAAGCCCATCTCTTCTGAGCAGTGAGAAGCCCCGAAGTGGTTAACTTCCTCAGAACCCTCAAGCGAGAGGCATCCCTTCCTTGGGAAATTAACCCCAAATTGGGGTTCTCTTCCTGCATTTATTTTCTAGAACAGGAAATTACAGGAAGAGAACATAGGTGGGGTTATAGTTTAACAATATAGGCTGGTAACTTTCAGTGAAACAAGTCAGATGACATTCCAGTAGACAATTAAGTGACTGACCAACAAAAGCTTGATCTTAGCAAACATTCCTTCTCTCTCCAACAATATTCCAGTATCTTTACACATTAATCAGTAACTAATCTGTCTTTGAGCCAGCAACATTGCTGTGCCACAAATCTTTATCTTATACCAGAGACTTTATAGCCTGAGGAAAATTTACTGTCCCCCACAAGGTCAATATTTGAAACTGCAAGGCTTTGGAAAACCAGGCCCTGTGAAGTACATTTGCTTTAAGAATCCTCTAAAAATTGGCTTTATTTTCCCTAAATGGCTTTATTTTTTCTAATTCCCTGGAAGTATCAATCATTTTTGTCCCAGATTTAATATACCAACCTTATCGTAGCAAAGTTCCCATATGTACTCAATGTATTTCTGTACCTACATTTGTTCTATTACTATGTCAGTCCCACAATGTACTAATTACAGCTAATGATGTCACAGTTTCATCAGCTCTAATATGCAATTACAAAATGCACCATTTTATGCACATTTAGAAAATACTAATTAAGTTACGATACACCACTGATAGTAAGAAGTATCCCAATCTTTATGATGTTAAAATAATAGAAAATGCACAGTTTGATCAATGCATTCCCATATGGCAGGTGGGGCAAGTCACCTTGGTTACTTTTCTTTTTTAGTAGTTTCATGATTGTTATCTATTTATTTTTCCCAAATAATTTTTTTTTTAATTTGGCAAGTCACCACCGCCACAAAACCCCCCCAAATAAACAAACAAATCTTGGGGTTTTAGTTAGGATTATATTGAATTTTTAAACAAACTTATAGAAAATTACACCAAGGATGCTTAATGGTTAGAAAGTAGCAGCCCTGGGCTGGCCTGTGGCTCACTAGGGAGAGTGTGGTGCTGATAACACCAAGGCCATGGGTTTGGATCCCATATAGGGATGGCCGGTTGCTCACTGGTGAGCGTGGTGCTGATGACACCAAGTCAAGGGTTAAGATCCCCTTACCGGTCATCTTTAAAAAAAAAAAAGAAAGTAGCAGCCTTTGTTTTTCCCTAGTCGGAAAGTATTCCAAAGTTCACAGCCTCTACCACGTTTCACCCCAAGAAGACCACTATTGCTGTCTCATCTAATGTGCTAAAGACTACAGAGGAAGATAAAAGCTTTCTATAGTAACAATGAGTGACAGGAACTTCTATATCTTTTAGAGAACAGAAAAGGTACTTGCCATGGACTGTTTGTGTCCCTCCAAAAATTCATATGTTGAAATGTTAACCTCCAATGTGATGATATTAGGAGTTGGGGCCTTTAGGAGGTGGTTAAATCATGAGGGTGGAGCCCTCATAAAGGGGACTAATGTCAGAGAGATGAAGAAGGCAGCCTTCTCGAAGCCAGAAAGAGGACTCCCACCAGGAACGAATCAGCCGACTTGCTGTCCTCAGACTTCCCAGCCTCCAGAACTGTAAGAAATAAGTTTTCATTGTTCGTGCCACCCAGTCCATGGTACTTTTGTTACAGCAGCCCTAAGACAGTACTTGAAGGATATAAAGAGAAAGATAGCTAATTTTAAGACAATTAAAGATTATTTCTAGTCATGATCTTTCTTACGCTAAAAATCTCATGAAAATAGTTTAAAAAGAAACAAAATTCAAAATTCAGAATTCCAAGAGCAAGGACATGGAGCTACATCACTTCTATAAGATCAAGACCCAGGGCCAGTAAGAACCCTGGGCTGGGGAGATTTGGAGGCCACCATCTGTCCCTTCTGCCTCCTGCAGGGGTAGAACCACATCAGATTATGCAATATAATGAGACTTCATGTTATTTTTAAAGTGCTTCACCTGAGCAACAGCAAAGAACCCAAATCCCATTCCAAAAACATAGCATAGAGTTTCCAGCCGTGGGTGAGGGCTGGCTTGGGAAGACCCTGGGACCACCTGCAGGTTCCACAGGCCAAAGATCCAGAGTCCGCCTGTGTGGGTGCCAGGCCAGAGAACACGGTGTTACAGTAGGGGCAGGCATGAGGTGAGCAGAGGTAGGATAGCCCCGACACCTGACAGGTGTGGTGAGGTGTCAGTGACCTAGAACCTAGAGGAGATGTCAACTGAGCCACGTCTCGAGGGGAGAGTGAGCCAGGTGGAGGGAGGAGGAAGAGACACTGTGAGCCCAAGGACAGATGGCCTGCAGGGGACAGGAGAGCAGGGAGCAGAGAAACTGCAGGACCCCAATCAAGGAGGTCAAGGACTTGGGAATTTTGTGCAGAATCCACAGAAGGACTATGGTCAGGAGAGATGACAAGATTTGCCTTCCAGACCCCACTTCCATCTGTGAGGCCACGGTACGAAAGGGAGAGGAAAAGGCAGGAGGGCTATCGGGGCAGCGGAGGCTCCCGTGCTTCCTGGATGGAGAAAGGGGTCTGGAGCCCCAGCAGCAGCGGGATGGCGAGGAGGGCAGGTTGGAGAGCAAGTTGCAGTGGTCAGCTGGCAAGAGGCAGGGCAGGGAGCTGGAGGCTTCCAGCTGGGGCAGTCAGAGAGGTGGTCACTGCCTTCATCCAGAAAGGTGACTCAGGAGGAAGAATGCCCCATTCTGCCCACGTGCAGTTGGGGAGGCCTACGGGCTGATCTAGAAAGATAAGTAAGTAGACTGGCACTCAGGAGAGAGAAGTTAGCTGAGGACAAACCTCAGTCACGCTCATGTAGAGCTGATCGTGCTACGTCCTTGAACATCAACGCCTAAAGGACTGAGGGGCATCAGAGAGAGAGGAATGTCCCCAAGACTCAGGGGAGAGTGGGCAACTCGGAGCCGCAGAGGACAAGGGAGAAGCCAGGTGGCCCTGGCCTCCTAGGCCAAGCTGCAGGCAAGGCAGAGACCGCTCCTGGAATGTGCGGCTGCAAAGGGAAGACCACTAGAGCCCCAGGCCAAGGCGGGCAGAGTGGAGGAAGAGACCGGTTCAGCGGGTTTTGTTTTGGTTTATTCATGTGACAATGGGAGAGAGAACTGCAGGAAAAACACCCAACCCGAAGAACTAGACGAAATGGAGGAGAGTGGGTGGGGTGAGGGCGGCCCAGGGCCCCACGACAAGGGGGATGCCAGAGCCTGCCTTGCGGTGACAACATGGAGGGAAGCTTCATCAACCAAGTGCACTCGCAGTTTCAGGGCTCTAGTGCCGCAGGGAGCCGTGCGCGAGGCAGGGCTGTGTGGTCAGCCAGGGTCACTGCAGATGCGCAGCAGGTGTTCAAAGAAGACTTGCTGGACAGACAAGAGGTAAATAAGGTCTAATAAAGTCAGTGCATGTCACCTGGACTCCAAAACTCCCGGAGACAGCTGGTGGTGCTTGGCCCTGTTCCTCCCCTGGGAAGCCAAAATGGTCATTTGCTACCCTCAGCTGAGATGTGTGCTTTCACCCTGCAGGTCTGTGTACTTCATGGGGGGCTTACCTAACTGCAATCAGGCCCAAAGCCCACAAAAGGAAAGGGGAACTCTCGGCTACGCACTTTCACGCAATGAAAGAAAAAAACAACAAAGCCCAAACAACCCAACGTTCCCACTAGGATGCTGTCACAGCAGATGAATCAAACCGCCTGCTGTCACCCAAGAGCAGGGCTTGGCTCCTCTGATCACGAGCTGCCCAGATCTGGTAGGGTCGCTGTGTCCTGCTCACCCCTAAAGACAGGGATGTGACCTCTGGAAAAGCAGCTCTCAACTCTATCTAGTCAGCTGCCACCTAAAGCTTGTTTTTCTAGAAGAAAACTCTCCCAGATGGAATTTACTTTCCTGAATCCTCAAGTGAAGTTCAAGGTTGAGCAGAGAGAGCCCTGCTAAGTTCTGATCCTTGCAGAGAGAAGATGCTGATAAAGACAAGTGAAGAGGACCACTGCAGAGGGAACACAATTTGATTGCACCCTGACTTTTAAGGTCAACAGTGGTGCTATAGGTAATGTTGTTTCTAAAAATGAATATTAATGTCTTATGGTTTATGATACTTAATAAAAATGTCACCATTGCACGTGACATTGACTCTTCCAAGCTTCACTTTTTTCCTTTACTAAACTTAAAAAGGCCATTTCTCAGGCCTAAATCCCCAGCCTACTGCCCATTAATTCCTCTCAGAAATAATGTACGCTTTTCTTCACTTAGTGTCTAGTGCCTGTAATAATTCTTTGTCCGTAAGACACTCTGGAGCACTGGCTTAAATCCCCAGAGGCTGTGACTTCTCCCCACTCCTTCACAGAAAGAAAAGTTTTGGCCATAAACAAAGGTACTACATGCAAGGATTTCTTTATCATTGATAGTGTTCACAGAATTTCACATTCAAACATAACAGAATTTCTAGTAAGGACCATCCAGATCCATCTGCAAACAGAATATGATTTACACAAACAAAACCCAGGCTGGGCTACCCAGGAAGGCGTGGAGATGGGACAGTGGCTCAGGTGGGACGGTGGCTCAGGCAGCCCACTGCGCTCAGGGGCTGGGTCTTCCGAGCAGAAATGCAAGCACAGCCCAGGTGGTGACGATGCCACAGACTCTGCAAGACAATGACACTGGTCAGCAGGCCCGCGGCGGCCAGGCAGGGTCACGTGTGAACCTAGCAGGTTTGGGGCAAGCGCCGCAGGCCTGCCCATTCTCCCTGACTCTGTTCCCCCAGATGTCATCTCTTCTATTATTCTCCTGATGCCACACTGAGTTCCTGCCTCCCAAGGTTAGAGTGGGTCTGGGGTGCAGACAAGTCACTTTTCCTGGTGATGTACCTCAGGGGCTGACAGAGGAGAAAGGGTTGCCAAAGAGCCAAACGTTTTCCCTCAACAATGCTGTTGTCTGTAGACATGGCCCCTAACCAGCAAACCAGAATCCTCATGAAGCCCCATTAACGGCAACCCATTCTTTCTAGTTATTCAAAATCTTGGATTCGGCCCGGTGGCGCACTGCTGCAGTGCGCCACTTGGGAGCGCGGCAACGCTCCCGCCGAGGGTTCGGATCCCACATACAGACCGGCCGCTCACTGGCTGAGCAAGGGGCGGGCGCAACACCGAGGGTTGCGATCCCGTTGCCGGTCCCGGTCCGGTACGGGCGCGACGCTGAGGGTTGCGATCCGTTGCCGGTCACGAAAAAAAAAGACAAAAAGGGAAAAAAAAAATCTTGGATTCGTACTCAACCCTTCTCGGGTCTGTTGCTGACCCCCTCCTCTCGCCACCCCCTACCACCACACCACACTGTGCCTGGCCGACGCACGGGCATCCTGGCTGCTCCCTGCCCCGTCTCCTCTACGGTCTATCTCAACATGGAAGACAGAGCAATGCTTTGAAAGGAAGTCAGATCACGTGCCTCCTCTGCTAAAACCCCAATGGTCTCAAATTTCTTCCAAGAGTGAGGCCCACAGTCCTCTCCCATGTGGCCCCCACTGGGACAAGATCCAGTTCCTTCTCACAGTGGCCCTGCTGCCCCCTCTGCCAGAACACTGTCCCCAGATTGCTCTGCCTGGCTCACTCCCTCACCTCCTTCGAGTCTTTAATGAGGTCCCCATCATCTCCTTTAAACTACAACCTCCCCCCAGGCACCTGCCACCCCACACCCGACCCCTTCTCTCATTTTTAATAAACACTTGTCACCTAATAAATTATACGGTTTACTTGTTTATTATGTTTATTTTATGTTACCTCCCACTGGTGTGGGAGCTCCAAAAGAGCAGAGATTCTTGTTTTGTTCACTGATAAATCCCTAGAACCTACAACAGTGCCCAACACAGCAGACGATCCACAAATGTGTTGAATGTTCCTGAATAATACTCAGTTCATCACACTTGTCAACACATGCCAGCTAGTGCACTGTGCTAGAAGCAGACCAAATGGGGAACATGGAACAGGCCTTCAGCCTGGTCACTTACTGCAACAAGCAGTTGACATTTGGGGAATGTCTCCAGTACCGATACACGGAGAGCTGCAGGGTCGGGTGGCCCCTGTACTCCTTCAGGACATTCCGCAGACTGCCAAGAGAAGTTTGCTTAGGTGAGCCGAGCAGCGGGACCACACCACCTGCTGCAGTCACACGCACGGCAGGTAAAGGCAAAGCGCTGGGGCGACTGCCAGGGGAGGACGAGCCGGAGCCAGGACACTCACTCCTTAAACTTATTGGTCAGCAGCAAGAACTGGCTTCGTGTGAGTCGCCTGACATCAAACTTGCAGAGATTGTGAAACTCGTGGTAGACCTGCTGCTCACTGACCCCAAGCCACTTCCTGACACTGAGGATGAGGATGGGGGGCCGGATACTGGGATAATCAGGACCAGGAAAATTCTAGAAAACATGAAGAACAGAAGAGATTTTCCACAACTGTGACTGACATCTTATCCAATTTACAAATCCTAAAAGAAACTAGGAAAGGCTGTTTGGGGTTGGGAGGGAAGAGAAGCAAAGGAAGGAAGGAATGAGGCCACGTTAGTTTTGGCAGAAACAAGAAGAAATAAAAAGCTCATCTTGGTTACTATCAGAATCCCTCTAACATACCCCAGAGAACACGAGGCCACTCCCACCCTGCACCTCTGAATAGAGTAAAGGAGCGAAATGAAAATCTACTCACGATTTTAGGGACCCCAGCTCGGATGAGATTCACTTGGTTCACGTAAGGAGCCAGCACATGGAGGTACTGGGAAAAGCAGGGCTCAGGGATGGGGCTGTTGCTACATGCACAGAGAAAACCCCAAGGCATTAAGGCCCACAGGAATTGGTGCCCACGTCCTCGGCCACAGCCAAGGATCTGGTCACAGAATAGGGGAAAGACACTGCCTCATTCCCTCCCCCCCCACAAGCCTTGAGGCTAACGTCAGTGCGCTTGCCCCAGCTGGCCAATATCAAAGAGCTCTCTCAATGGCCCAAGCAAAAGCAGAGCTTCCGGACGGTCACCATCTGTCAATGACACTTGGATGAAGATCTCTCTGCTGACAAACATTAGCAAATAGGCTCAGAGAATCAGTGAGAGGCCACTGTTCAAAGGAAGCACTATTTTATCATCCCTCATTCCACCAGCAGCCCCTCCTCTGTCTAGGGACCACACACGCACACCTGAGCCCAGGCCCCAGGAAAAGCAGAGGCCATGTGGCCAGGCGGGCCTGGGCAGCTACAGAACTTCTCTAAACCAAGCAGGGGTTTTAGGTTGTGAGGATTAAAAGAAATAAAGGACGTGAGATCCAGGGGCCCGGGGCACTGAGGTGCTCTGCTGCTGTTAGCTCCTTCACTGTCCAATGCCCGTGTACCTACCCATGGGCACTTACATGCTGCCAAACCACAGAAAAGGGGAGACAGGCTGGCAGAGTTCTTATTTAAATTATAAGTCTCATATCAGTGTGACATAAAACATTTGCATTTATAATATCCATTGCTAAAACAGACTTAACGGGCAGTATCCGAGTTAACAGATTATAGTCCAAAAGTGTTTCTAAGTCATTCCCAAAGAACATGTTACACTTCTGATTAGCTCCTTCACCTGGCCTGCTAAATCCTATAGAAGAAATGTACACACCAAGGACAGGGCTGTAGAACACATATGTCAAATGCATATCCGGCGCTGCATGCCCAGTGCTGTAGGCATCGAGGGCAATGCTGCCATGGGGAAACGTGCTACAATTCCAATTTGGGGGTTCACAAATCTCTCCCCAGCCTTATTCCAAGACACGGCCCTTCCCCCCAGCCTATGTGAAACCCAGCAATGTGTCATTCATTGACCTGAACACTCTATCCTTCGACTTCATTAGTGTTTACATGGTTACGAGAATACACGTAGGTAACAGACCAGCACACGTACCAGGCTGGGCAGTCCTGAAGCAGGCATTAGAACTGAAGCCTAGCCTCACTGCCCGGGGCTCCTGATGATGTGAATTCTCTCAATGCCAAGACAGGGCCACAGGGGCCAGAACCCACATAGGCAGGAGTTGGGCGGTAGGAAAGGGCTGCTCTTATGGAAGAAGGCTGTTGTCTACAACTGCTGTGCTCACTGCTGCCCAGTTGGGGACGAGATATCGACACAAATTGACATTCTCCATTCTCCCTTCTTTGCGAGAGCCTAGGGACCAGGCCGGGGAGGGGTCTCGGCTTACAGCAAGGGCTCAAAAAATCCTGACCACTGATTGAATAACAGGATAAAAGGAAAGAACACTTACCCGTGCAACCTCTGCAGGAGCAAGTGTGCCACTTTCAAAAGAACTGGAAAAAAAAACAACTAGAAATGTAACAGACCTTAAGGCCTTATCGAAATATGCAAACTCGTGCTTTGTTTGCATTATGTGCAACCCAACCTAACATAAATAGAGAACCTAGGGTGGCAGGGGCTTGTCACCAATAAAAAGTTAGTCTCCTCTGAAAAGAGCAGCACCTCTTACCTGATCCACAGAGGAAGGCGTCATACGCTGCTTCGTGGGGGTACTCCATCCCAACTGAAGCATTTTTCCGCAAGTAGGAGAGAGTGCATCGAGCAGCCATTAGAAACACGGCCTGGGCAAGGAAGTCTCTCTCCCCACCCTAGATCAACATCCCCGGCAGCTGTGACATGTGCCACCACCAACTGTTGTGTGCGCCCCGTGCCGGCCCCATACCACCTTCACCTTGGTCCTCCTCACGGTGGAGAAAGCCAAGAGCTCGGAGCTTCCTGGCAGACTAAACACCACATGGAGAAACAGAGCACCCCCTATGGCCTCGGCTGCCTTCTGGAATTGCTCGTTTTGAGGGCAGCTATCATATGGAATAGAGCACAGGAAAACCATGGAGGAAAAACCCCACGCAGACCTCCCACATCCCTGCTGTCCAGGGAGACCAGGGTTGAGGAAAAGCCCTAGCTCAGCACCTCAGCACTTTGCCACCATGCAAGGAGCACGCGCTCATGGAGCATACCATATTTTTCACATTTCCTTGCGTGAATAATCACTGGTCCAGAATTCTTGGTGGGATTTAAGTCACTATTGGGGAAGAAAAACAGGATAAAGAACAATTTGCTGAAAATAATTTCTTCTTGTTCTCTTCTCAGCTCATTAAGTTAACATAAACAAAGATATGTCTTCAGTATGTTTGGTTTTCTTTTAGTGCACGGATCTAGAAGGTCCTGGTAACTAGGCAGTAGGGCACTTCAAAGAACAGCGGGGCAGAAGTCTCCAGCAAGATAGAGAAGTCGCTGTCTCTGCCCTCTGGGGCTGGTGGAGCAACTAGCGAGCAGCAAGTACAGAGATGATCACACCTACATCCTACAAATGCAATGAGAAAGCTGAAAGTAATGGCAAAAAATGTTTGTGCGGGGGTAGGGTGTGAAAGGAGATGATGAAGCATGAAGTGCTGGAGGAGACATCAAGTGTCAAGTAACCGATGCCACAAGTGGGAAAGAGCACCTATCAGCACCCAAAGGTCTGCTGAGCAGCCCAGGAGGCCAGCCAAGGCTGCAGACCACCACGCTGGGAACAGCTCCAAGAAATGCCCTCCTTACCTGTTCAGGACTTTGTACACTTCTGAAAGGTTTGAAACCCTTGGAAAATTCAGTTCCTAAAATTATGGAAAATAAATCAGAATAATGCATTTGTGCTTTTGTTTAGTCTCTGCTTCAGGTGTTACCAAATGTCTATTAAAATGACCTGGAAAATGCTAACTCCTACAACCTCTTCTTTCTCTACAAATGTTATATGTCCTTACTCCTTAATTACAAAGTCAGAGTACCTAGTATCCTTGGGTCTCCTAGAAGGAAGCCCAATAACCCAGGCTAGGAAAAAAACTGTACACAAACCCACACAAACCATCTCCCTTAGAAGATTTATTTAAGAGATTCCACAAACATAGGAACCCAAGACACCAGGCCAAGGCCAAGGACACATATGTAGGATACAGGCATTCTAAGGACTAGAGGGTGTTGGTGCAATGTCAGGAACCTAAGTCCTAAGAGTTCCTCATAGCTAGACATGCATGAAGTATATTAACTGTAATAAGAGCTTCTCTGGGCAGAGATGTACCAAGTAACCCACTCCCATTTCGGGGGCCCTTCCGGAACAATTCACTCTAAGTGATCACCCTAAGGCTTTACAACATCGATCTGATTCCCCTTTCTCTGTTCCTCAGTTTAATTTCTAAAAAGCATTTAGACCAGGGGGGGGGTCCCAACCTTCCTTGTCCACATGCAGTGCACAGCCTAACTGCACAGGAGTCACCTGGGCAGCTTTAGAAGTACCACCTGGCCCCACTCTAGACTGGAAGAGAAGCTGACAGTGGGGTCTAGTGTCGGCATTTAACTTCCCAAATGATTCTAAGGTGCTGTGAGGGTTGAGAATTCATGACCTTAGCGCTCGATAAAAAAGATGTTTCCTCAAGATTTTTCAATTGGGGACTCCTACCCTGGTGCTCTTTACAAATGTTGCAAATATTTATGAGGTACGTATCAAGCTCTAAGATGAATTGTTCCATTGTCAGATCTAAATAAGTACACAAACTATATGCAAATAAGTCAAAACATGGGAACTTGAAAGAAAAAAAAAATCATATATAAGCTAATGACCCATAGGTGCCAAAATACAAAAGGAAGCTGGTCCTCCTTTTTTCAAGATAAAAGGGCTCAAGAAACAATTTTTTAAAAAGAGAGAAAGCTAAGTGTTACTGGTATGGACAAAGCAGTCCTTAACCCAAAGCAATTTCATTCCTTACCTTCCAGATATCCTTTGTCACATTCTTGGTATCAATGAGAACAGGAAATAGGTTGTGGATATTCTGCTTAAATTGATCGTAGCTTTCTGAGAGAGAGAAAGAGCCAGATAGTCAAAAGTGAGTGAGTTTGTTGGTAGAGATGGGAAGGAACATTCTCTAATCCAGCTTGCCACCAACACTAATAAAGAAAACAAAAACAAAATAAGAACTGAAAACATCCTTAATCCTAACCACTAAGGATTTCTAATTTCACACCAACCTGCCATCATCACTTTTAATAGTAAAGGCCATTTATGGTTTTCCATTAAATTCAGGATGCTTTCAATTGCCAACGTTAGTTAACATAGTTTGAGAAGTTCTAGCCAATGGAACAAGAGATGGAGAAACAGATATTACTAGAAAGACAGATACAAAATCATCATTTGTAAATGAGGGTTCAGAGAAAATCTGAGAAAAATCAACTAAAACTCATTATTAATGAAAGGTAAAGTATCCTGATAAAAGAAAAACATTTTTTAAAAAGAACTAGTAATTGGTGAATTCAAAGTTACAGCTGCATATTAAGAGGTTTATTCAACACACACACACATACACACACACTAAAAACAAATACACCCTGCAACCCTCTCCCACTACTCTCCCATTTCCTGTTGCCCAAAGGCAACTACTTTCAATCCTTTTCCTCTTGGCATCTCTTCCCATATCTTGAAGCAACACGTGAATGCTGCAGTTTCAGGCACTTCACCACAGACTTTCCTCCATGGAGGGTAATGACCGTCTCGTTCCACCTCCACCTCACCACACTGCCCACCACAAGCCCTGGGTGCATGGGGGGCTACAGCCGCCCCTTGGTACACCTGCACGCCGTTATTGCAGAAGGGCTCTGCAGTGGCTACAGTGACGTCTCCTTTCTGGCACAGATTTGTTCTCCCTTCGATTATTGTTTTGCTGCGTGCTCAGTTTTTTGTGAGTGCGTATTATTCATTTTACCCCTAATATCCCCTAAATCTCTCAATGTGCTCAAACTCAAGTGTTTTATCAGTTCATTTCTTAGGGAAGTATCTCCTAGAATTTTTTTTCAGCGGTGGGCCAGTATGGGTATCCAAACCCGTGACCTTGGCGTTATTAGGCTGTGCTCTCACCAAGCTAACTGGCCAGCACTCCTAGCACTTTCTATCCCTTCCAGTCTAGGCTAATGTTCTCTGTACATACATATATCAATTCATTTAATCTCACAAAAATTCTGATACTGGCACTAGTACCTCATCTTATGGGTAACATAAAGTAACTTGCCGGAGATCACACACATAGCAAGGGGTGTAACAAGAAGCCCACCGTGGCCCTGGAGTCCCGGCTTTTAACCACTATGCTGCACTGCCATATGTCCAACAATAGAATCAACCACAGAAAAGGAGGATACAGCCATAAGACAGTATCACATGACCCTGAAATTACACTTATTAGATTTTTAATGACAAAATAATGTCTTATGTGAAAAAGAAAACATAAAATTAAATACATAGTGTGATCAAATATGTAAAAACTCAGAGAAAAAAGCAAAAAGCATTAGGAATATAGCTGAGATTAAAAATGACCTCTCTCCCTCACACATTTCTGATTGTGCCAAGTTTTATACAAGTATGAACAACTTTGGTAAAGAGGGGAGGGGCATCAATTCAAACTTAAGTTTTTCTCCCTTGGGAAAGTCTCCTGGTCTTCCACTCTGGAAAGATGGTAACAGACACAGATCAGAGTACAGGACTCTGCCTGACTTCTCCAGAAACCTGCAAACACTCGGAAGGAATGTGCATTTTAGGAGCTACCTCACGGACATGATTCTAGACAAATCCCCTGTCAGATGGCAAACCAGGATAAAAGGAAAAAGAATGACAGGTCTGTCCCTACCTGGGAGAGGTCTGAAGAACTTCTCATGGAGATGAAGCAGATCCATCATCATATTATGTCCCACTAAGGGCTACTTGGAGTAAATCAACAAGTGAGAGAAAAGAATTTAAAAAATAAAGGCAGACACCATAGACTAATAGCAGTTTCTTGCAAAGGATGTAGCTTAAGAACCCACTGCAAGTGGTCACATGATATTTCCATCCTCTCCCTTTCCACCCCCATGATGGGTAAAAAACGAAGAAGAAAAGAAAAAAGCAAGCAGGAGGCACTTAAGGCAGAGTCCACATTGGGAGAGTAAATTGTGAAGCAGATATATTCAGTTCTGGGTAAGTTAGCATTGAAATCCCTGTGTTACCAAAAGGAGCAAAGAAATTGTAGTATTTCATATGGACAGTCTTTCCCCAAACTAACCTATCATGATTTGGTGAAAGCAAGGTTAGATCCAGAGAGCCAGCTATCAATGAGAAGGAATCACTTATCTTAAGAAATCTTATTTTATTGTGGAAGGATCCTTCAGAATCTATGGCCAGAAATACAAAAGATTGCTAAAAGCCAAGAAAAGAGATATTTTTTCATACCTTCTGGGCTTTCACAAGCATCTGGAAAAAGACAGAAAAACCCCTCGCAGAGAGAAGAATCTTCTCCTTCCAACGGCTCTCTGGATCACAAGAGGTGTTCTGCAGATACCAGCGGTACTGTGTGCTAACCTTCCTCACTAACACCTGAAATGAAGAGCAGAGACAGCTTCCCTGAATCCTGGGTTACTGGGAATGAGGCGTACAAAAATGGCTGTTCATCTCAAAATGAAAGGAAAGGAGAAGAAAAAAAAGAGCAAGAGAGAGGCCTTTTTCAGAGGCCAGATTTGGCCCACTAAGATGGAGCCACTAAGGATGCCCATCTCCCAGGAGAGAACTCACCCCTTCATCTTGCAGCACTGTCCAGATGTTGGGGAGGGCCTGCCTTAGCACCAACTGGACCTCAAAGGCCCGCAACCCTGTGGCAAGTAAACACAAAGTGCATACAGAACCTGGAACAGCATAGCACCTTCCCTACAAAAGAAGCCCGAGAGGAAGAGATGCTGAGACAGGTGCCTATGCTTGTGAGCCACGTGGCAGGGCATGATTCTCAAGGCCACTCAAACAGGTGATGCTAAAGAGTTGTTTGTGTGGTTAGAGCTACTACTATTGACCGTGTTGAAAATTAAAACTCTAAATGTTAAAAAAAAGTTCTTTTAAAGTAACAAAAAACTCATTATACATTACAAAAATGACATTTATGAAATATAACTATTTTCCAAAATGAAAAAACCCTAGTGAGAAGAGTGACATTGTTTTACATTTTTGCAAATCTCTTTAACATCTGGCTGGAATCTCATATCTGCTTCTGCACTCGCTCTGTTGTGATATGTTGTGGTCAATGAAGCATATGAAGAAAATGCAGCCTCAAACAGATACGTAGA